TAATGACATACCTGGGTTTCCAACTGTGCACATCTTTTGTGGATTTTGCTGTGGATTTTTGGTCTTTCAGCCACCACACCATTTGCTACATAGATGAAAGTATGACATTTGTAAGACACGACTAGGAAGCCAGTTTTGGACTAGGACATACAACATCTGCTTGCTCTTTATGTAACAGGAAGGGTTTTTGGCTGTAATCTGTAATGCCAGGGCCAGGGTGACAACTTGGCTCTATAGCAGAACCCAGTGCCTCACAGATATGATGCTCCTGCATGTCCCTTGTTTGATTGACTCTGGAGATGTCGAGCTTCTCAAATTATATTCTTTAGTGCTCTTAGGACTTGTGAATCCAGAGTTATAGATTCATTTTCGTGCACAAGGATTTGAGGTGCTGAGCAGTTAATCCTGGCTCTAATGTCAACTACAATGCGCTGTGGCTCTGAATCACAGCCACAAGTTGGCCAGTTTCCTCTTCAGGGACAACCTTGCCTGTTACTAGTTCCAAATATTATCTCTGGCTTGAAATTTTGTGATCAGGCAAATTAAATTCTGAACAGTACAGGAATTTTTAAAAATTTAGAACTAGAGTAGAATCTAGAATGGCATGGTTGCAACTTACCTTTGTGTTTAAACAAAGCTTCGGCTGGAAAAGAGGTAGATCTTCTGGGACCAAATTGTAGGTTCAAGGCCCTGAAAGGGATGATTCAACATTTCATCTTTAGGTCTGGCAGGATTTGTTTGGGTGCAACCCATCTATTATGCATGAAAGATCCTGTGTACTTTCCATAAAAATCTTCTTCCACTTGGGACTGTTTCAGGCTTTTGGCCATTGAAGCATTTGTAAATTAAAAACAATCTGCTGATTTTCTTTAAACCAGCCTTGTTTGGTGTGTTACTTGGTTTTGTATTGCTTTGAGTTGTGTGTGGGCACTGTGTTTAGAGAAAAAAATAAGAATCCAAGGATATTGTTGTTATCACTGAAGATGAATTCCTAGAAGCGGTGCCATGGCGTAATAAATGCCGTGTAAACCCAGAGTAACAAAATGTTCTTTCATCCACCACCTACCACAACACAAACCTGCACTTTCAGGTGTGAAGGCAGTCGTGTACCCTACACAGCATGCAGTTTCTGTGGCAGGCTGATGGAACGCTGCACCTTGTTATTCCCAGCCTGGCATCTTTAGGATATGCTGGGTTACACACAGGAGGTGTCTCTGTGGCTTGGTGTCCGTAAATGGCCTCATTTGCTTTGGCCTGGCTGCCAGTTGACATCTGCTTCTTGCTAATTAGGCAAGATTAAAAGGTGATCACCCAGCTACTTATCTTTGCAGCCCAGGGAGCAGTGCCAGGCGGGGTGTGTTTGACATGCCAGGAAGCCAGGAGCCTTTCATCCCACACCAGTCACCCTGGGTCACTGTGCCCACCACACAGCTCTATTTCTACTCGTTAAATAGACTTAATAAATAAATAGCACCTTCTAAAGGTGTAGGCGGCTTGTCTAGCACAGCACTGGCCCTTCCAAACGCACTCTGAAGCCAAAACCAAGTGCTCAGCGTGGCCAGGATTTATCATTAGAGCTGTATGGGTTAGAAAGCGTGTTTGTGGCCGGCATGCCAGCTTGCCTGAATAGCCCACAGTGTAATTTCCCTCTTTCCTTGGTGGGAGGAGCTGCCAAAAATAGCAAGCCAAGAATTTGTCCATGTTATTTCTGGGATTGCACCAGGAATTGACATCAGGAGAAGAGGAGAGAAAAAGCAAGCAGTGTGACAAGTTTAGGGTCCGTGGTTGTTTGGGTTTTCGTGCTGCTGTGGGGCCACTGGAAGGGTCTGGTAGCCACATCCTGCATGTGCCCACTCCCACATGTGAGACTCTCCCCAGGCCCTGGTGGCTTTAATGAGGTTACTCGAGTCTCTGCTCTCTCTTGGGGCAGCCCTGCTGGGCCCAAGGCATGGGAGTGAGCCAGGGCTCTGTTTTGTGCTCCCAAGGAGCAGCCATGGCCCCCATGGCCACGGTACCGTGGAAGGAGTGCAGTGTTAGCTCCTGTGCCTGAGAAAAGGCATGAATGAGCCCCAGCTGAATCGGCCTTCACAAAACCTATGAGTCAAGCTGTGACTTCTCTGTGGAAAGGGCTGTTTGTGTGATAGGAGACATCACTGCCCTGGAGAGCTGGGTGGGATTCCAGGGTGGGGATGGAGATGCTGCAGAAGCCTCTGCCACTGCTGCTGCATCCAGATCTGGGTGGCCCTTGGCCATGGGGTTACTCTGAGACCAACAGAAAACTTTAGCTTATTGCTAAGCAGTGAAAAGGAGATTGAAGGTAAAGCTATGCTGATCCTACCTTGTATTTCCTGGGCTATCTGTCCCCGTTTTTCTCCTCTCTTCCTTGCTTGCAGCATGTACCCATTGGAAGAAACATCCGTTAGCATCATATTCTGTGGCCACAGCAGCTCCCCTGGCAGCAGGACAGTGGCTCTGCAGCAGCCCTGGCATGTGCCACCACCTGCTCAGGGAAAGGGCTGGGGATGTGTAGAAAGCTGAGGTTACTCAAGGCATGGGGAAAAGCCGTGTGTTCTTCTTGGAGAGGGAAGTGAAAGATGCTCATGGCAAGAAGGGAGGAACTCAAGCAGTGGTGTTGACAGTGTAGAAACGTGGTCTGCAAATGAGAGTGGTAAATCAAGCTTCGTTAGTGTTGCTGCTAAAATCACCACTTTGTCAGCCTGAATGGGTCTGTACGAGGTGTCAGATGCATCGAGAAGATCAGAGCTGCCTCTGTGCACTAAGGAAATATCTGTGTCCCTCCTTCACAGGCTCTGGGCCAGCTCCCTAGCCTGTGATGGAGCTAATTGGGCATCTGAGTCCTGGGTTCAGTGGCACTGGCCTCACAAGGGCCTATTTAGCTGCCTGACTTATCTCCAAATGGCTGTTTACTCATTGCCTGTACTTGCATTCACCATTATCTCTGCATAATAGTGCACATGCTACAATGAAGAGGCTACTGAGTATAAATCCTAGGGAATGAATAAATTTCTGTGTTGTCTGTTGTGGGACAGGAGGAGAAAGAGGTCAGTTGCAGCTTTGGTCTACCCTTGCTTCACCGAAATTCCTCATGCTCTCAAAGTTGGTCCCTGTGCTATATCAGTGGCTGTTTGAACAGCCCTTGGGGAGGCACCAAGATTTACCAATGCAGAGAAATTCAGAAATGCTTGTTCATGTTTGACTGTGCTGATTAATGACATTATGGTGGCATCCATTTTAGAAATGTCCATGACTGGAGCTCAGCAGTGTTGCTGCCATGATGGGAGATCCATCTGTCTTTGCAGAGCTCAGAGTCTCTAGAAGTGAAGCCAGGCAAAGGATGGTGATGTTGGAGAAAGGACAAAAATTGAAGGTAAAGATTCCAAGAGGCAAAAGCACTTTCTCCACGTCCTGGGTTAAGCAAGCACGACTGGAACAATAAAGTAGTTGGCCTTGTTCAGAGTCCTAGGTGAAAATATTCAAGGCAAAACCTGTCCTCTCTGTTACCCAGAGAGGTTGTGGATGTCCCGTCCCTGGAACTGATCAAGGCCAGGCTGGATGGGGCTCTGAGCAACCTGGTCTGGTGGATGGCATCCCTGCCCCAGGCAGGGCATTGGAACAAGTTGGTCTTTAAGGTCCTTTCCAACCCAAACCATTCCATGATTCCATGCTCCTGTAGGCTGAGGTTCTGGATAATGCCAGTTCCTCCTAAATCCTGTATTTTGTTGTAGTTAGTCCTGCTAGAATCAGACAAAGCAGCTACATGGGGGAACAGCCCTCACTGTAATTAAGGCAATCAGCATCTGACACTAATCCAGGGGAAATCAGTCCAGGCTGCAGCAGGTATTAGGAGCTGGGGATGATGGGTTTGCCTGCACCTTCTCCCTGAAAAGGTCACTTTCACCTGTCATCCCTTTTTCTTTGTGTATCAGGTCTTGCAAAAGAAAGCTTTGAGTACTTTTAATTTGAGGCAGCATTACAGTTCAAAATGTACTTGATCTTTATTTTGCACTGTTTAGAGTGGCTTGAGCTAAAAGGAAATTTTTTTCAAGAGAACAGTCCTGGTGCAACTCCACTGATAATTTGAGAATTTTCAAGGTCTGAAAATGACAACCTGCCTTTTCCACATTATAAAAGGGATGTTTTCAAGGTGCCAACCATACATTCAAGAGGAATACCATTGTTTGATTTTAACTCCTCTGGCCTGATATTTAATGGATCAAGTAGAGAGTGGGACATTTCACCATCTTAAGAACAATGCAGCAGACTTTGAAAATTCACAGAATTAATTAATGCAATGAAAAAAATCATCATCAATGACCTATAACTGGGTCATTCAGCAGTTACAGGAATAAAAGAATTGCAAGGCAGAGCTCACCCCATGTATCAAACTCATCAGGATTGTTTGATTAACGTGTTGTGCCATTCCCATTTCTGGCACACAAAAGTTCCTGTAGGTGGCCCAGAAAAATGTTTTCATATTTTTTAGATTCATGGGAACTTTTTTTCTAAACTGCACAATGGAACAGCTGCCCTGTACAAAACTCAGCATCTCATCCAGCCACAGCCTTGGAAAACCACGGTTTTTCTTTGGCTGTGAAGGCCAGCCAGTCATTCCATAACTTGAGAGCTGCTGATGATCTACCAATGTGCAAGATCCCAAACTGTAAGGCCAAGTGGAGAGGAGAGAATTTAGGAAGCTGAGGGAAAGGACGCAATTTTCCTGCACAACTTTCTGGTGTGAGTGAAAAGGACTCCTCAGCCAACAGAGATGTGCTTCCAAACCACTCTTATTGACAAAGGCATTTAAAACCTGAATTCAATAGGATGGCAGAAGGCTGAAAATAGTAATTAGGAATATTTAGTCAAGGACAAAAAGTGATTGACAAGCAGCTAAAGTAAGGGAATACCTTATGGAGCAGGGTATGAGGTGATAAGGTTAAGCTGCTCTGCTCATTATGGTGACTCTGTATCCCTTGTTTCAGATTCATTATTGTATCTCTATTGTGAAATCCCCTGCAAATAGAATAGATAACATCACCTTGTCAAAACTGCTGGTCTGCCTGCCATAAAGGACTTCAGCCATGGCCTGAAAAGGTAAAAATTATTGTAGTTATTTTTTCTCCAATTCCAAATGCTTTTCTTAAAGGATGTGAAGGGTGGTAGCCAGCTGTAGCACTTTTAAGATAGCAGAGGTATGAAGATATCTATAGAGAGTGTCATCAGAGCTGAAAATTCAGATCTGCGTTTCCACTTGGTGTAATTGAGACGTGAGCTTGTAGCTTCCTTCAGTTAAAATCCTGTTGAACCCTCTGAGACTCACAAGTATGTGTTGCTATTCACTGCTGGCCACCAGTGACACAAGCACTGTAGCTCAACAGTCCCTTGGGCCTTCAGGAAAGCATCCTGCAATGGAAATGCTGTATAGAGTGAACAAGAGCAGTCAGTAATAAAGAAATCAATACCCAGTGCCTGCATTTGGGTTTGAAAGAACTGCTTGGGATGGTTTTCCTCATCAAAGCTCTGTTTTTCCAGCACAAGCCAAAATCTGCTTTTCTGTCCAGGCAGCTTAGCTAGCAGGGAAATGGGAGCAGCCTTTTTCCCCAGTGCTTTCATGTCTAGGTATTTTACGGGTAAATTCCTGTGTTGGAAATCCAAGGTTGTGTGGTTCAATCCATAGGGACAGAAGGGAAACCCCAGTGTGCATTCACTTCCTCCAGAGCAACTTAAGGCCCTTGTTTTGGGAGATGGCATGGTTAGCTGGCTGGGAGAGCTTTTATCTGAGCAGGCCAGAGCAGATTTTGTTCTGCAAAGCTGAAATGGGGCCTCTGGAGAGGAAGATAAAACTGTATGCTTAGGCAGGGAGCTGCCAGAGGATTTTCTGGCTGGGGGCTCTCATCTTTCAACACATCCTCACCCAGGAGAGGTAACCAGGAGACCAAGGACCACACAAGCTGACATTATTTCCCTACTGATCCGTTTCAGTTCTGGATAAGGCTGGCCAGCTTGCTCTGTTGCGACTGCTTATTGGTTCTCTGTAAGGTCCCTAGATTTTGTACCTTCCCTGTAGGGCCAAGCTCATTCAAAAATCCACAAAAAAAAAAAAAATCTTTTCATCTCTTCCTTGGAGAGGAAATCTTTTCATCTCCACCCTTTTGCATACCCCTAAGTGGTGCTGGTGGTGAAAACTTTCCTCCTAGCATGAACCCCCTCACTCCAGGCGAACCCTCTGTGTCTCAGTGTGAGTTTCCCAGGCTGAGAACTGAGGCAAGACAGGACAATGCAGTGACAATAGAAGCCATACCCTGTTTATTTTAGCCACTATTCAGATTGTGACTGAAGTGGGAGCTGCCACTAGCCAGGCTCCCATTTCTCACAGAGCCCTGGCGGTGGCATCGGTCCAGGGTGTGGCTGGTGCTGGTGGAAGCCTTCAGAGTTGATGTTAGAGGAGAAGGACACGCAGAGCATCACGTAAACCCCTGGTTGTGTGTGCAGACATAAGGAGGGATGTTGTAGATTAACCAGGGTGACACATCCTCATAGGAAGTAATGGGCCTGGCACTCTTTCCTCTGGACAGATAAAGCAGCAGATAAAGACATTGTGCCAGACCTCTGTTAGAGGAAGGCTGGCAAAGTCATTGAAATATATCAGATTGAAACACTTGTCCTCTTTCCTATTCCACAGCAATTCAGGACAGCCTTACTTTGTTTGAGTCCCATTACTGGAATTACTGGGGAGGGTTCATGCACGTGTTGCTCTCACCATTTTCCTGTTTGTGCCTAGCAAGAGAGGATTGAACGTTAAGAACCTTCTGCAATCCCACTACTGTGCCTGAGAGTTTCTTAGTGTAAGGCAATATTTGTTTCAATGCAATGATAAGTAAAGAAGCTAAGTTTTTCCTAATTCTCTTTTTTTTTGGTCTAAGTTCAACCTCTTTTTTTTTTTTTTTTTTTTTTTTTTTTTTTTTTTTTTTTTTTTTTTTTTTTTTTTTTTTTTTCATTTCATTCATTTTACTTAAAAAAAAAGGAAGTTAATTTGAGCTCAGAAGGAAAGCACAGATTTCACATATGCCGCCCTATTTTTTCATTCGAATTTTTGACATTTTGACTCTTGTCCAGCACCTCTAAACACAGACCAGCTCTCCAGGGTGTTGCCCTGCCTACACAGGATGATGGCTGCTGCCCTTATTCACAATTAACAGAAACTGTGACATTGAACACCACTCAACTCTTGTTAATTTGAGACCAAACTCACCACATGCCCCAGCAGAAGCAGCAAGAGGAAAGCTATAAAGATATAACAAGGGGACAAAAGAAAGGTGTATTCAGCAGCAGTAAAGAATGTGCAGGAATATGATAATCATGCAAATCTTGCAATGTAAATGCTGCCTGTTCCTGCAGTAACTCTGGAATACAGAGTGTGTTACTCCAGAAGCAAAGCCAATGAAGGGCAGCACTGAAGCCCCTGCGGTGTTGCCCATCTCCTTCAGGTGGGGGCTCTGTGTGAGCAGTCACTTTAGGACACCCCTCTCTGACCTTCCTCACAGTCCTGTTTATCTCCTCTCTAAACATTCCCTCTGTCACCAAGTGTATCTTTGATGATGGTCCAAAGTTCACATCCGCTCTCGTGTTTAACCTTCACGAGCTTGCTGAGCTCATTACGTGTGCACCAGGCTCCAAGCACGTAGGCCAGCTCCTCTCCTCGTTACTGGGTGACTGATTAGCAGCAACAGGACAGCCCAGCAAGGAAGGGGCAGCTCTCAATGACAAGGAGCCAGCAGGGTTTACACTGGCACCTTGCACCACACTCTGGAAGCTTGGTGGGGCAGAGTGAGTGCTGAGCCCGCCTGCTGCCCTTTCCATAGGCTGATGGAGAGAATAAAAAGCTCTGCAGCTGATAGAAACATTTTCAAGGTGTGGTTATGAGGTGTGGTCCTGTATTTTATCTTGTGACCTGGCCCAGCTTTGCCACTCATGGAAGTGAAAGGTTGGCGGAGTCCCATGTATTCCTTGGGTGGATTTTTATGGACACCAAAACCAGAAGGATTTCCCCCAGAGTTTATAGATCTATGTGGCTTTAGTGCCCACTGAAACCTTGGGAAATGGAATTTTGCACATAGATTTCCAACTCTCTCTCTCCCTGTTTTACATGGATAATTTAGTTTGTGTTAATAGTTCTCAGACACCATATTTTGTACTAATGAGCTCCAATCCTTATTATAAGAAGCACAACAGAACTGCATAAAGTGCCAAAGGAATAATTATTCTCACACTTGAGCAGCAGACTGACAGGGACAAGTCCTGCTCAAACTAAGAAGCTCCTGGAGCAGGAAGTGTTCTAGTGTGTTACTAAGAGAAGCTGAGCTCCAAGAGGTAGAGTATTTCTGAGCTTCCCAGAGACTGACACCTACTTGAAATGAAAACCAGAGGGAAACAGGAAAACATTAGCAAATCAAAGCGTGTTCTTCACTTTGGAAGCTTCTGCCTCCAGGGACAGATGGATTTTGGGCACCAGTTGTGTGCAGTGTAATTTTTGTTTTCTCCACAACTGGTAAAGAAAATAAAGTTAAGGCTGCAGTTAAACAGAGGAAACCTCACCTGGCCCAAACAGAAAAGTACAATTTTTGCTGTTAGCACCTCACAGTGTGAATATTTGATTTGGCTAATAAATACAGAGAAGTTGCTAAATTATTTACCCGTTCTGTGTACTGAGCATTTGTTGCTAAGCTGCTCAGTATTTAAACACCCAACTCCCCAGCACACAGCTCTGCTGAGCCAGGGTGTGGAGGCTCTATAAGCAGTGCCCCACTGACCGTTTTGGGGAAAGGTGGCACTGGGTGTGCCAAACATTCCAGCAGTGAGGATGGCTCATGGATGGCCAGCTGTGCTCTGCAGATGGCCACTGTGAGCCCTCAGTGCACATGAGCCATTGCTAGGTTTGGCTGAAAAGCATTGCCCAGGGACTGCCAGTGCCACTGGCATTGTGGTGGCTGCAGGATGCACAGGGTTCCTTTGGGGAGGCAATTTATTACGTTTGTAATTGAATTTTGGCTTTTTTATTATGTTTTTGCAAATAGTGTTAGACTACAAATAAATTGCCAGCCTTTGCCTGTGGATCTTAATAGCAGCATGTGGGCAAGAGAAAATTGTTTTTAAATATATTTGTCCTAAGAAGAACCAAGCAAGTGAACAAAAATCCAGCTAGTCACCATCTATGGTTTTAAGAGAACTCAAGGTGTTTCTTGAGCAAAGCTCTTGGGTTTTGGTGAACCTGGGGTTTTTGCATTGACTTGACTCCAGTTTCTGGTGCCATGTCCTGACAGGGTGGCCAAAGAGCTGGACCTGGGATCCTGCTGCTCTGAATCACTGTCTCCAGTACAAGTGATTGTATTGCTAGGGACTGTTGCAGTGTTTTCACGCTCTGAGGGTTCCCACATAACCAGAGATGTCTCTTGAGGCTCCACAGAGATTGGATTTTCCAAAAGAATCACTCACTAGATCCACATATAGCCAAGAACAAACTGCCCCCTACACCAGGGTGTGCTGGGCATGACTTTGCTGTGCAGCTTCTCAGGCACAGTGTCAGGGTCATCATTGTAGGCACAGAGTTTGTGGTGATTGGGAGTAGGGCTGGGCTCATCCCCAGTGTCACAGCTGTGAGCAGCAGGTGAGCAGCACTGGCAGCAATGAGCCAGGGAGTGCCCAGGTGCTCTGAGCAACCACTAAAGGGAACAGAGGGGACACAGGTGCCATGCATCAATATGGGGGTATAAAAGGCTGGGCTGAAGAACAAGAAGGGCAGATGCTTGCAGCCTTCTGAAGTGGTAAGTGTTACTCTGGATGAATGTGTAAAGCTTTCTGAAATTGTGTGGTAATACTTTGTGTATTGTGGCCATTTCAACTGTGACATATGCTGCTGTTGTGGTGTGTGTTTTTGATTGTAATTTGGTCCTAGTAGTCAGTTTTATACCCCCCCCCCCCCCCCCC